ATACATATATATATATTATATTATTATATATATTATATTATATTATATTATATTATATTATATTATATTATATTATATTATATACTATATATTATATACTATATATTATGTACTATATATTATATACTATATATATATAATATATATTGTATATATTATATGTTATATATATATATTGTATATTATATATATATAGATATATATATATATATTGTATATTATATATTGTAAAATATATATATATATATTATATTATATATTATATATTAGATCCCAGAGCCCAGAGAGGCTACATCGAAGGGACGCAGGCCGCCTTTCGGCTCTGCTCGAGCATGAGCTGCTTGCGGTTTGATAACGGTTTTGATAGAGGGCTTAGGGCTTTAGGGTTTTAGGGTTTTAGGGTTTTAGGGTCTAGGCTTTGGGGTTTGGGGCTTAGGGGGTTTAGGGCTTTAGGACGCAAGGGTTTAGTACTAGTCTCTCTTTATGTATAGTAAAGTGACTAAATTCCTGCTAGTATAGCACACACACTAAAATCCTGTTCTAATCCCATAGAGCCCTGCATCATGGTCCTTCTTGGCCAAGCAAACTCTTGGCCAAGTAAAACCTAAAAGAGCCCATCCTTCATATCCCATGACAGCTGTGTGGTAACGATATAGAGCCCCATGCTTGATAAGGCTCATGTCGTTTTAGAGGGTGGTTTGGGTTGGGTTTCAGAAGTTTTTGTTGCAACTTGAAGCCTAGCATCTTAATGTTTGGGGCACATTAGTTTGGGCACTCGTGCATCAAGGTTAAGGCTCCCGCGAATTAGGGTGTTTTCGGAGACCCTTTGTTTTCTGAAGCCTTCATTTCGGATCCCAGAAACTCACAAACTGTTCTGAGGATGTTGATCGTTATCATCTTTTTTTTTAATACCGGTAGTACTGATTTTATTATGATTACTATTATAATCATTCTGTTTACTATTATTTTTTTGCTACTGTTGCTAAGAGGGCTTCAGTCGCTCGAGGTGCGGGGTCCTTTGGGTGCCTTAGGGAATAGGGGTTCCGGGTTTAGGGTTCTTTACCTTCAGGGGATCTTCAGCCAAGCTTTAGTCCGTGCTGAAAGGGGTTCCGGAATTAGGAGGTGTACGACACCAGCGGCGATTCCTACACCCCTCCGACATCAGAGCGTGTATCGATTGTGTATTATAGTACTAGGTAGATAGGCCGCGACACTGCATCTGAAGCATTTCCAGTGTCACAAGGGCGTCCGTTCTGGGGTCTTTTCTTTCAGGATCCTAACACCTCAAAGCACTATGACTGCGAGACTTGGTTTCATTGTAAGGTGTGTACATCAGGTTTGTGTGTTGTCAAGTTGTGCCGTCAGTATGTAAGCCGGGGGAGGCAGCAAGCTGTGTTTTGCGACAAGCGCACCTGGACCAAGCCGTCTTCGAAGCATTTCAGCTCAGAAGGGTAAGTACCACGGTACTGAATCCAGACATTCCCTCGGCTCGCTCCTCTTCAGCTCTCGCAATGGGCCACTCGATGGAGCACTTATTCAGGCTTACAAGAGTCTAGAGTTTCGAATCCTCGAATTTTCTGAACCTGAGATGGCCTTCGGAGTTCGAAGTGCTGTTGAGTTCTTCCGGCAAAGGCAACTTGTGCTGCGGTGCCGGCAACCAGCACTACGATGGCCTGGTGGCCAGCCTGCCGAGCCTGTCGGGGAAGGCCGCTCTCCGAGTGTTGCGGTCGAATCCTGGAGCCGAACCTCCTGGAACCCTAAAGCTCCAAAAAGCCCTCAATCAAAATAGGGGATCTGCTGCTACAAAACACCAAAGCTGGTTCAGCTGGTTGGCTGTTTGGGCAGGGTGCGGTCACGGATTGCAAGCAAGCTGGAAGGAAAGGCCCACATCCGAGAAGTGCCGAAAGCCTCAAACTCAAGCCTCAAAGCCTCCCTCTCAACCCCTAAAGTTAGGATTCAGTGTTTTGGGCCCAAGAACTGCGTGATGAAAAAAAGCACTTGGAGCCACTTGACTGCTGCACGCAGGTGATTGCGGTCACGGGCTGCACCTCTGGCACCGGAAGGACTACAGTGCTCGTCTCGCCTCTCGGGAACCGAGGGTTCAGGGCTTGGAGCTTAGGGTTTGGGGTTCATTCGCATTCATGAAACTCCAGAGCTTGCCACAGCCGGACCATGACAAATGTGCGTGTGCCCATGGCTTCGTACATGGAAGTCAGCATGTCGGGAAGGGCAGAACCCTGTAGCACACACCAAAAATCCTGCTTCCTGCAGGTGTTTTGCTGCACGATCCGTAGGCCTCTCGAGATTTGATGCGTGCTGCTAGGATAAGGCCTCGAGGAGAAAACCACCGCTTGCATGGCCAGCCTGCGACGGGCAGCCTTCGACATTGGCTCGGGCGCCACCAAGCTCGTGATTGCCGATGTCACCGAAGGCAGTATTCAGGAGCTCTTCGCAAGAGAAGTTCCAGTGCCTTTTGCGGTGGACTGGAAGCAGTCTTCTGATGGGAACTTGAGCAGCGCCATCCAGGAGCAGGGTGTCTCCGTGCTGCGGAGCTTGCTGCAAGAGTGCGATGACCGATCGGTGGCAGTCCATGCACGTGTCGCTGTTGCGACAGAGGTGTTCCGAAAGGCCGGCAATGGGAAAGCTTACCTTGAGCGTGTCTTCGCTGAGCTGGCCCTGCCAGTTAGAGTGTTGACGCAGGATGAGGAAGCAGAGCTGGGCTTTCGAACTGCAGCGGCCCTCGCGGGAAGCGGGGACGGCACCATCTGTTGGGACTCCGGAGGCGCCAGCTTCCAGATTACCACCCGCTCCTCTTCCGGCGCTCTGGAGGCTTACCTGGGAAGCTTGGGCACCGGCGTGGTCACATCCATGCTGGTGGAAATCCAGGGTTGCAGCTTTGCCGAGACTCCTTCACCCAATCCCGTGAGAGCAGAGCACGCAGAGCAACTGCTACTGGATCTGAAGCGAACGCTTCCCGCTACACCCAGCTGGCTGCGGCACGGCAACGTCGCAGCGATCGGTGGTCCAAATTCCATGTTCTGTGTGGCCTGCGAGGCTTTGGGCATGGGCTTGTCGAAACAGTCCGAAGAAGCTTCTGCAGAAGGCGAGAGCAGCTCGTGCCACTTCACCATCACTGCCCAGGCGATCCGTGACGTTTTGCTGGATGTGATCGGAAAATCAGACGACGAGCTGTTGCAATACGCATTTTGTCAAGGACAGCTGCGGGAGCCTCCCGCTTTTATTCTTCCCAAGCTCATCCTCCTTCTCGCTGTCATGGAGCATTGTGAGATGGAGAAAGTCTTCTTCTACAAAACCATAGGGTCATGCCCAGGCATGCTCATCAGCGACGAGATGTTTGCCAAGCCGGCTGCCGCTTCCTAGCTTCTCTTGCCAGTGTCGGAGACACGACGGCATTCTCGAGTGTCACTGCGAAGAGGCACAACTGCACATCGCTGTAATGGCTGAGCAGAAGGACTCCATTCAACTTGGACTTTGCTGGTCGGCTGATGTGTCGCCCTGCTCGCCCGCAGACTGAGCTGACAGCCGTGAAGCAGTGATGCAAGTTGGAAAGCGTGATATAGAAGCCTAAATAATTACCCATATTATTCCTTACGCTTCCATATTATAACTATACTTTCAACGAGCCCAAAACCCTATTCTAATTATTAAGGCCCCTACATTGGGTTCTCCCAACAGTTCTTAGATGGTAGCAGGATGCCCTCTCACTCATCACGTTCGCAATACACGTACTGAACATGTGAGCATTCGCTGATTGAAGCCAACATTTGAGACGAGCACTTTTCTTCCCTGTTTTGAAATAGGTCGGGGCCACCGGGTTTCGCTTCGGAGGGATTGGATGTTGGAATTCTTGGCCTGCTTCGAGCGAGTGTACGTTTCGTCAGTTTTGTGCTAAGACCTTTCCTGGACTTGTCCGAAAACCCGATACCCTACAGTGAAGCCAAACTTCCTTGCAACAGAAATCTATGGATCTGGGGAACGTGCAGGATCTTCGCGCGAACATGTGCCAGGAAGGGTGCCAAGGTCGTAATGCTGTGACTGGGCTGCTTGAATGAGGGTTGGGCGGGTTGAGGGGATAGGGTAGCTTTTCCATTTCTGAATCTCTGCAATGGAGAAGTTTCCGAAGCAAAGCTCAAGATCTGTTAGCTGAGAACCTCCACGGAACCTAAAAGCCCAAGCCCACACCTTAAATCAACCCTGAAACCCTACACTGTCGCACAAAGCCGGCGGCCCCGAACCCAAACATCCCTAAACCCCTAAACCCCAAACCTAAGACCCCTAAGACCGTGAAACCCAAAAAACCCTGAAGCCCCAAAGCCCTCGAACCCTAAACTTTAAACCCCAAACCGAAGACGCTAAACCCTGAAACCCTAGAATCCTAGAACCCTGAAGCCCCAAAGCCCTCGAAGCCTCTTCGAGGAACCGGAGCTCCCACCGGGCGGACGAGGCCTTCCAAGGCCTCAGGGACTTGGCCAAGGAATCCGGGGCGCCAGAGCCCTTGTGCCTCGGGCCAGACAAGAGGCTTCTTAACATACAAACACACACACACATTTACACATATACAATTAGATATAAAGATATATGTATGTATGTAGGTATGTATGTGAATATATATATATATATGATAGAACGGAAAATAATGTATTACGATGTGTGTTTGAGTGTTTGCAAACGTCCACGTTTACTTATACATAAAGCGGTGTATATGTATGTATAAAAAAAGTTATATATATATATATATACATATGTAAGAGAAACCTTTATGTACTTATTGGACCCGTTCCTTTCCCTTCTATATCCACTATTGATAGCCCTTGAGACCTGGATTCAGGAAGTTCTAGTATTTCTCAAATTCCTAAAATCCTACAATCCTAATATTGTAGGGTTTTAGGATTTTAGGAATTTTAGCTTTGAGGCGAAATTTCTAAAATTGCTAAAATCCTAAAATGCTAGGGTTTTAGGATTTTAGGAATTTTGGCCTTTACGCGAAATTTCTAAATTCCTAAAATCTTAAAATTCTGTAATTTTGGAATTTTAGAAGTTTTAGGAATTTTTATTTCCGGATCTCGGACCACTTATTTCCAGCAGGACTTTAGGAATTTAGGAATATATGCGAAATTTCAAAAATTCCTAAAGTCCTAAAGTTCTGGAAATTAGTGAACCCGGCGCCGGGACTTTCAACAATTTCCATAAACCAAAAAAACCTAAAATTGCTAAAATCCTAAAATGCTAGGGTTTTAGGATTTCAGGATTTTTGGCCTTCACGCTAAATTTCTAAATTCCTAAAATCCTAAAATTCTGTATATTTAGAGTTTTAGAGAAATTTTAGGAATGTTAACAACTTCCGGATCCCGGACCACTTATTTCCAGCAGGACTTTACGAATTTAGGAATTTTTGACCTTTACGCGAAATTTCAAAAATTCTTAAAATCCTAGAATTCTGGGCAAGGTAAGGGGAGCAAACAAAAGGATTTCCCACATACTTTGGTGCGCTGCCGATCCTGACCGTTCAGAGTGGCTGTTTAATAATCAACGATTCAGACACACCATGATTCCCGAGCCTAGGGGGCCTCGCGCCATCAAAGTGTTTATGCTCATATTTGGTGTCACATAATAAGCAATGGATTTGTCCGACAGAGGTCGGAGAGCTCTGGCATTACTTCCTTCAGGCACGGCAAGCAATGAAGCGCTGCACGCTGAAATTAAGTCTTGGTTCTTACAAACTCAGCAAATTCACAAGAGCACCTTGCGCTTGAAGTTGGTGATCTTGGTGTTGAGCAAAGCTCTGCCGCATGCACTTGCAATGCAGAGTCCAACTGTAAGCCAGACAACCAGCAGGCGGCTTCTGGCCAGAGTCTCTGCCAGGTCAGTGTTGTCCGAGGACACATGGCGGTCCTGGTGCGCCACAGCGGTAACGACAGAAAGCATTGAGAAGGCCAGCCTTGCCTTTAAAGACGGCCGCTCACATGAAGTTCGAACCGTCCGGCAGTGGATTTTGAAGAAGCCGGCAACTAAACGACACGTGCACGTCTTCACCAAGGCTCGCAAACCGAGTCTTCGCACACAAGGCGTGCGTGGGTGACTATGTGATGCTCTCTGGAGATCGTGCAGCGCAGAAATGAAATTGCCATATCAGCAGCGT